ATTAACATTTTAAAGCTATTTTCCTGGTATCCTAACATAATATGTCATTTTCTTATCGCCTGTTAGATTATAAATAACAGGTCAGATACTCTCTTGTAAAAATGTGTAACATAGATGGAATTACAGAACAAGAAGGGTAGACTTAAAGATGTCCTAAACCCAAACCCCGATGCCATGTGTTACGGCAGATCTTGAATGCAGGCCTTTAATTCTACTTGTCATTTACCAAAATGAATGTATCTCCTCCCAAATGATCAATAAATGATTATTAAGAAAATTAGTAAATGTATGAATAAAGATATCAATGAAATAAAGAATGAATAAGATATCTTAAATTCACACAAATATAGAAATTCAGTTCCCATAGAAACAAAACTTGTTGAGCAGGCTCCTTAGTGTTATCCTTCATGACCCTGTAGGCAATTCCTGCATAATCACACGCCAACTTTAAAATACATAGCACAAGTTATTCGATCTGAATATCAAAATGATCTTGCCATTTTCAAGTAAGGCAACAAGTCTTGAGCTTCATATAAAATGTTATACTTCGAACTTTTATAATGTTAGAGTCTGTCTGCCTTCCTGTTAGCCTGAGAAATTCTACTGCTAATGTCAGAAACAAAAGACAATAGTGTTGTTTGCACTTAAAATATATTACACACATTCTTTGATGCATCATTAAAATAATGACAAACTACTGAAAGTGTTAAATTCTTGGTATAAATATAGGTTACATGAGTGTTTAAAAACTAGGTCCTCTTCTGAAGAGGACCAATTTTTAGCTAAAAAATCATTTCATACAAACACAATAGTTGATAAAAGTTCACAAAATTTCAGTCCAATTTACTATATATGTATGTGTGTATGTGTGTGTATACATATATATATATACACACATATATATAAATGAAAGAAATGTTTTCTGCAACATTTATTAAAAATAATAGGTGCTCAATATACCTTAGTTATAAAAAAGGAAAATGTTGTATCTCCCAGATTGTTCTTATTAGTATTATATATGCTATATTTTTAGGCAGTAGGTTGTATTTTCACACACAAAGAAATAATTTAATAAACATTACTCTACTGAAATGAATCATTTAAAATGCTGTTATTAATGGTTTATTTTAAATTGTTTTTAGTAGTCACTTTTGTTTAATGCATATTTATAAAATTATATATTTTTCTCATCCCTAAGAAAAGCTCAAATAATCACCAAGAGTGCAAAATGCAAAATGAAAGTCCTGCTCACCTACCATTTCTAAATACGTCAATATTAACAATGAGACTGAGGGTCACAAAGATGATGAATTGTCATTTCTAGTTCTTATTGACAATTTCATTCTCATATATTATTTTGTGAATAGGAAAGTACTTGGATAGAAAATATACAGTGATTCATGGTCCTGGTAAAGACTGTTCGTACTTCGATGAAGCCACCTCCATGTCCTCAGGAAATCAGTGTCTTGTCACTCTGTACATATTATCATTAGAAATTTGGACAGCTTTTAATCCACTTTGTCTTCCTAGTAGCAAACGATTTTTTTTATCTTTTTATGGAATGTACTGGGGTGGCAGATTATACAGGTTTCAGGTGCACAGTTCCACAACACATTATATGTACACAGTATTGCGTGTTCACCACCCCAAGTCTCCTTTCATCACCATTAATCTCTCCTAATTTTAAATGTTTAGATCTTTACTTCTTTTATGTAGGAATGCCATAGATGTTTTACATTGCTTTTTACAATAATAAAAATAGTTAATATTTATATAATATTATATGTAGGTATTATTCTATATTCTTTACTCAAATGAAATTATTTGTCTCACAATCATTCAGTGAGATTTATGTAATTATTATCTACCCTTTCTTTAAATTACAAAACTGGCACAGAAAGATTAAATCATTTTCCCAAAGCCTATATCTACATATAGTGACATTTATGCCAAGAAGACCTGGCTTCTTCATAATTTTAGCAATTATCTTTATGTTGTCTTTCATCTTAGAACCAGTAACTGTGATGGACTCTTAATTGACTCTAATAATTTGTTAGCCTCTTATAGGTTTTCTTTGAGACAATCATATTGTATGCTAATACCAGATTTTTCTGTCTAATATTTATACTTTTATTTATATTTTGCTCGCCTTATTGCCTTGTCTAGAGCTTCGATTACAATGTTAAATGGAAGTGGTAACTGCAGACTTCCTTGCCGCATTACAAACTTTAAATATAAGTTCCTTTTTTTCTTTCATGAAAGCTCATTTCTATTCCTAGTTTGCTAAAAGTTTTTTTTCTAATCATGAGGCCCTATTGCTTTTTTTGTATTAAAAAAAGTATTTTGATTAAGGACCTCTTTGAAGAATACATCAGTGAACAAAACATAAAATATACAACAAGATGCATAATTCAATTATTTGAGTGTGTTAGGACGTTATAAATGGCATGGGAAAGTAGAGCAGGGTAAGCTGTCCTGTAGGGTGAGGGAAGGGGCAAGCCTCATTAGAAAGGTGGACAGCCTGGAAGCAATGAGTCACATACTGGGGAGGAAGAGGATCCTAGCTAGAGGAAACAGTGGGTACAAAAGCACTAATTTGGTGGCCAGATTGGGTGTTCAAGGAATAATGAGGAGAAAACTGGGTGTCAAGGTGTGAATAGATAGATAGAACATGAAGCAGAGAGATGAGGGGCAGCAGACCATAAGGAGTTTTTCATGCATTACGATTTTTTTAACTGTATAAAAGGGGGATTTAAACAAAGGAGTGACTTATAAGGATGACTGTTTCTTGTTTAAAAATAGATTCTAGGTGGCAAGAAAAGAAACAGGGAGACCAATTTGGAGGCTATTTCTATAATTTAGTCAACAGATGGTAGTGACCTGGACCCACAGTGAGGGCCTTAAGAAGTACTCACATGGTGGAATTGTAACTATAACTGGAAAGTACAGCCAGTAGGCCTTGCTGACAAATTGGGTGTGGTGTGTTGCAGAAAGAAACATATAGGATTCCTTCAGCTGGAAGCAGGGAGTTGCCATGAACTAGAACAAGGATTGTTAAAAGAGTAGATTTTGGTGGGAAGAGCAAGAAATCCGTTTTTCTCAATGTCTGAAAGTAGCTGTTTCATATATTTTGTATCATTTTCTAAGTTCTTCTTTTTTACCAACAGGAAGACAAATCTAGTACTCCAACATGCCAGAGTGGAAATTCCTTATTTCATCACATTTTTTTTATTCTTCTATTCTTTTTTTTATTTGTTGTGTTTTCTTTTTCTAACTTCTTAGGTTAGATGCTTCTTACCTCAAAGATTTTGAGTATTTTTTCTTTTCTTTTATATGCATTTAAGACTATATATTTCTTTCACTGTACAATTTTGGCTACACTCACATTTTAATAGGTGGTATTTTCAATATACTTCTGAATATATTATCATGTACATCAAATATTCTTTGCTCTGCAAGGCATTTACAAATATATTATCTTTAACATGTTAATTTATTATTAACTGAATTCTTCTCAGAGCATATTATCTGTATGATTACAAGTTATGTGAAAATTCTGTGTCTTCATTTATGGCATACTAATTGTCCGATTTTGGTAACTATTCCATGAATGTTTAAGAAGGACATGAGTTATTCAACTTTTAATTTTATTTTACCTACTTTATCAAGTTTATTAATTTTGTTTTATATCCTTATTAATGTCTGCTTCATCTGTCAATTATTCAGTAGATATGTTGAAATATCACATGGTAATGGTTAATTCACCTATCAATGTTTATAATTATTTCCATTTTTTCTAATATATTCTGAAAGTAGGCTATCACAAGCTTAATGTCCAGAAATAAATTATGTTCCTAGAGGCCTGACATGTTGAAATTATATTATGACCTTTCCTTAATAGATTTTGCTATAAAATATATTTTATGTTGATATAGTGATACAAATATTATTTTAGTGAGTAAAAACAGAACATTTTAAGTGGAATTAACTTATTCCCACCTATTTACCTGTCCAAGTCTTACCTAAAGCCTGATTTGGGGAGGCTATGCCTGTGTTTTATTTTAGTAGAAAGAGGATATTTTCTCACTGAAAAATATTATATCGTTAAATGTCAGTCTTTTGTATCTTCCCCTTTGATATTGCCCAAAGAATATTTATATAGGAAATGACAAATAGACACACACAGGCTAAGACAGACATAAAAACACCATTAAAATATCTCAAAAAAAAGTTAAAAAGGGTCCATTCCTATTTTGGCTTAATATCAGAGAATATTTCACATTTGTGATCAACTCAATATATTCGTATATATTTGGTTCTCTGCAGTACCACCTGTGATGGGTTGACTACTGAACATGTATCGGTCACTAAACTATGCATTGTGTATGTATAATCTCAATATGCGTGTACACATCGGCACTTTATTTGATTTTTACCTTTGCCCCAATTTCCTCATCTTAAAAAAAAAGACACAAATATCAATTGGTCTTTTGAGTTGCTTTTTAGTGCTATAAATTTATGAGAGATACGCTCTTCTGTATTTTCCTGAGGGGCAGAAGGGGAGCTTTTGTAAGTTTTTAAAAAGAAAACTTGTAAGTCTCATACTCCTATACTAAACACATGTGAATCATTAAGGGGACAAAAGTAAGATGTCATTAGGTGAAATTTTTTTTCCAATGTGCGTGTTGTGCTCACACACAGACAGAACTAACAATTATCCCTTTTAAAATGTTTCTAAGAAATGAGGACACTGATAAAAGAGCAATTTAATAAAACAGAAACTGATGGGCTCATTGCCAGAATTTTATTGATATACTTGTCTACAAAGTTAATTTCCCTTCACACTAATCTGTTTTATTACTGTACTTATCGAATTTTCCTAATTTCCTAAATGTTTTGTTTATCAGTAATTATGTGTTCTCCTATATACTTTAGTTTTCAGATTTCAAATGTTCACACAGCTCATAAGAGCATTCTATAATATTAAAAATAGGTAAAAAGTGCTCACCTCGGCAGCACATTTACTGAAACTGGAACGACACAGAGAGGATTAGTGTGGCCCCTGTGCGAGGATGACATGCAAAAATAGGTTAAAAACATAGTCCCCAGCAAATAAAAAATTAATTAGTAAACTATATTCTGTTAATTTTCTATATTTTATGATGTTTTGACATCTGAAAAAGCTTCCTGGTTCAGGATAGACTGCCTTTCCTGAGGCTAGTCAATTTTGTTTTGAAGACTTTTATTTTTTAAGAGCAATTTTAGGTTTACAAATTAGAGAGAAAGGTACACAGATCTTCCATATACTTTCTGCCTCCACACCTCCATTATCAATATCCTCCAACAAAGTGGTATATTTTTCACCAAGGATGAACATACATTCACATACCATAATCACCCAAAGTCTATTGTTTACTTTAGGGTTCACTCTCCATGTACATTCTATGGGCTTGGAAAAATGAATGGTGATATGTACCCACCATTGTAGTATCATACGAAGTATTTTCACTATCCTACAAAGCCTATGTTCACCAGGCTGGTGTGGCTCAGCGGTTGAGAATTGACCCATGCACTAAGAGGTCACCAGTTTGATTCCTGGTCAGGGCACATGCCCAGATTGTGGGCCAAATCTGCAGTGGGAGGCATTCAGAAGTCAGCCAATTGATGTTTTTTCTCTCTTAATGTTTCTTTCTCTCCCTCTCTCTTCCTCTCCCTCTAAAATCAATAAAGAAAATATATTTTTTTAAAATCTTCTGTGTTCTACCTAAGCATACCTCCATCTTTCCAAATCCTTGGCAACCACTGATCTTTTTGCCTTTCCCAGAATGTCATGCAGTTGGAATCATACAATACATAGCCTTTTAATATTAGCTTATTTTACTTTGTAATATGCATTTAAGGTTCCTCTATGTCTTTACATGACTTGATAGCTAATTTGTTTTAATGCTGGATAATAGTCTACTGTTTGGATATACCAGTTCATTTATCATTTCACCAATTGAAGGACATCTTGGTTGCTTTCAAGTTTGGGCAATTGTGCATAAAGCTGCTACAGACATCCCTGCGCAGGTTTTTGAGTGGACATACCTTTTGGTTCCTTTGGATAAATACGAAGGAGTGTGACTCCTGGATCATATGGTAAAAATGTTTTATTTTGGAATAAATTGCCAAATTGTCTTCCAAATTAGCTGTACAAACATCACATTCTTGCTAGCAGTGTATGATAATTCCTTTTGCTCCACAACCTCTCTAACATTTGATGTTGTTGATGTTCTATATTAGTAATATCTCACTGTTTTTTTTTTAATTTCCCTGATGAAATACAGTGATACCTCGGTTCTCGAACGCCTCGGTTTTCGACCAAATCAGGATTCGAGAAACTTTTGTCTCGAAATCCGAACAAATATTTGGAACTCGAACTTCCGAGTTGAGCCGAATGGCGTTCATTCGGCCCAGCGCACCTTGCTTGCGTCATCAGTGTGAGTGCAGAGAGAGAGTCACGCTTTGTGGAGTCCGCTTTCCTATTGGGTTTCATTGCTTCGGTTCTCGAACAATTCGGTTCTCGACCGTCCTCCTGGAACGAATTATGTTCGAGAACCGAGGTATCACTGTATGATGTGGAGCATCTTTTTACATGTTTGCCTTTTGTATAACTTCTTTGGTGAGGTGTCTGTTGAGGTCTTTGTGTATTTTACAATCAGTTTGTTTGTTTCTTGATTGTTGAATTTTGGAATTCTCTGTATATTGTGGGTAGCAGTCCTTTATCAGACGTGTCTTTTGCAAATGTTTTCTCCCAGGCTGTGGCCTGTCTTCTAATTTTCTTGAGACTAATCAATTTTTAAAAATCAAGGGTGTCGGCCAGGAGCCCATCTTTCATAGGAAATAGACCAATCTCAAGTCTATAGGCCAACAACTCTGTATCTATCTCTCACACACCAAGCCAATAAACCATCCCAGCATCAGGCAGCAGGCAACTAGAAATTACCCCCAATCGCCCAAACCCACCAGATTTATTCAGTGTAGCCAGTTCTAAACTCTTTACTCTTCTCTGCTTTACTTTTCCTACAGAAACTCCTAGAAAAGCTGTGGCCCAGACCTTCCTCTCATTCCTGTCTTCTGCCATCTTACAAAAAATGGGCACTTCCCCTTTGGCTCTAAATGGCATGCAGTGTATTCTTCTCTGAGACCTAAGAGTCTAACTTTTACTTCAAAGTCCTATTCTTATTTTCTCCCGTGGTCACACCAACTTTACCATACCAAATGTGTATTACATTCATTGGAGAAACAAAAACAATTGCACACACACACAAACACACACACACAAGAAGATTTATCATAGGAATTTATCATGGAGGCTGAGAAATCCCACAATCTTCTGTCTGCAAGCTGGAAAAATAGGAAAGCCAGTGGTACAATTCACTTTATGTCCCAAGGTCTAAGATCTGAAGGCTGATGGTATAAGTCCCAGTGTAGGGAGGATCAAGAACCAGAAGCACCGATGTATAAGGGCAAAAGATGGATGCCCCAGTTAAAACAGAGAATAAAATCAGGCTTCTCATCTATTTCACTTCTAGCAATACCATTATTTAATTGGCCAATGCCATAGGTCTGCCAGATTCAGACAATTTTTATTACTTCTTTGTCTCTACTGTATGTTACAATACCCACAGCCCCCTGTCTTTGGTCCTTGCCACCTCAAGATTCAATTACTCTCATTACATTTAGGCTTTCCAGCTGAGTGGCAATGGTTCCCACTCTAAGGTCTGCCCTACAGAGAAGAGCGATTATGGATCTTCAAGGATGCTGGGACTCCCTTCAAACATTTATTTCTCAAAGATGTGGCATGTTTTCTAGACCAACACCATGTGGGTGACTAGCTCTCACATGACAAATCCATTCAAATATTTGTCTCTCTAGGCTTCTTAGTCTTTTCCTCTACATTAAACCAAGGAAGGTCAGGCATTTTTAATTCACCCACAGCAGGACATCTTTTGGCCCATGTTTTAGAATAATAGCCAAACTCTAGGAGCCCTTTCTAACTCTCCAAGTTACCACATTAAATACAGATTTTCTGCTTAGTGAGCCCATATCAATAAATTTAGCCTAATCCATCTTTATGTTCCTTCCACTATTATCTCACACCCATAGTATCCATTCACACACATGTCCCTGAATTTTGTCTGTTTAAATTAGAAAATGGGAGTAGTTATTTTGAAGTGATGTATTTTGAAGATCCCTATGGATCACTTTTGTATCTCACTTTTGAGGGCCTGCTGGGACTTGAGTCTACATGTAATTTTAGAAGCAAAGAGGGATGGTAGAGATGGGTGGTGAGAAGAATTAGCATTATCTACCTGTCTCAAGGAGGCCATTACTATTTCCTCAGGCAATGCAGGATTAATTCTCAAATGGAGGTAGAAATGCTGATATCACTGTGGGTAGAGAAGCTGCTATCAGTGGAAGTGGGGAGACAACTTCCACTGGGTTAAAGAGGCTACTTTTGCTGGGAATAGGGTGACCAATTCCAGTGGGGTTGGCGAGGCTATCTCCACTCATAAAGAAGATTAATTAAAATTTAGGGGTTTAATATCCTCAACTTTGTTAAGGTCTTTGCACACATCCCTATCAACTTATAGGATCTCATTCTTTTCCAGTCAGTCAGTGCCCTCACTTTAACAGTAAATACACTGTGATGCTGGGAATTTAACATGCATGTTATAATTAGCCCAATTTTAGGATGAAGTTCTACATCTGATTTTCAGCAATTTTAGTTCTATGGCTACAGGAGGTAAGGCTCACCTTCAGTGCACACATAGAACATCTTAGGTCATTTATACAGCACTTGACCTTGAAATTTGAATCCCTGAGCTCATTCTTTTCTTTCACCACTTTGTCTAGTGACATTAGGAGCAACTCACCAACCTCATTATATTCCCTAGTTTTCCAAAAGTGTGCAAAATTGTCATATAAAGTCACATCGCTCCTTGCTTAAATGGTTGATTAGGAGTATTCAATGCAAATATTGTATGTATGTCTATAAACAGTTCATGCCATGGACTAGAGACACTCACTCTACCATTGGAAATAAAGTCACTAGCATCTTTAAGCCTAATTAGACTGGACAGCCAATTCCAGAAACCCCAGAACCCATTTATAAAACTCAATTCCATTCCTCTAGAGCCTCTCCTGATACCAAAATACCAAAAGCTATATTAATCAGGGTGCTCCAGAGAAACAGAACCAATAGGAGATATCTCTCTCTAAATTTAGGACTATATGTATATGAATATAATACACATAAATACATTTATCTCTCATATATATATAAACATATATAGAAGAAAAGAGAGATAAATGTCTTTGTTCATAAATTTAACATATATATATATGGAGAGAGAGAGATTTATTATAGGAATTGGATCATACGATTATAAAGGACAAGAATTTCCACAATCTGCTGTCTGCAAACCAGAGAACCAGAAATGCTGCATGTAGTTAGTCCACCTCTGAAGGCCTGGGAACCCAGAGTGCCGATGTCCAAGGGGAGGACAAGATAGAAGTCAGATGTGCCACTCAAACAGAGAGCAAATCTGCCCTCCCTTCAGACTTGGATCTTCAGAGTAGTTTCAAATGTGAAGCAATCCCCTTAGAGGGGTTCGGTGCAGTTCATTTGTTCACACATTTAACAATTTTTTTTTTTTTTTTAGTTTTTACCATGTACCAGCTACCATTCTAGGTGGTAAAAATAGAGAAGTCAACTAAAAAATATATACTCACCTTTGTGATACTACTATTATAATGGAGGAACAGAGATGTTAAGTAGCAAATATGTGAAAAAAAAACATTATCATTTGAAAAGAGTCATAAATGTCATAAAGAATGTAAATCAGATGAATGGAATCAAGAGTAATTAAAATTTGGGAGTTGGGGAAGGAGGCTACTTAAGATAGAAGGTTTAGGTAATGCATCTTTCAAGAAGGGTCATTTGAATGGAATTATGAGAAAACCATGAATAGAGAAGGGGCAGGATGGACTTCCAGGCAATAAGAAGGCTGTGGCTCAGAACCATATTCCCTGTCCCTTATTTGGGAACTGGAGCACCAA